AGCTCGGCCGCCGACCCGCGCGCCCCGCCCCGCCCCCAGCCCGCTCGCCGGCCCCGCCCGCCCGCCACGACTCTGCGCCGCGAAAACTTTGGGTCCGGGCGCGGCCCTACCTGCCGGGGCCACCGCCGCATCGCCCCGGGCCGCCCCGCTGGGCCGCGACGCCGTGGGACCCGTGGGACTCGGCGCGCCCGGATCCGGACGGGCCCGGGGCCGGGGACTGCGCCACCGTGCGCTCCGCGCGCTCCCCCGCTGGCCGGGGACTTGGGCTCCGGGAAGCGCTCTCTCCCCGCACCCGGCTCCACGCCCGGGCCGGGCCCCTTGGACCCCACTTTCGGGCTCGGCCCCGTGACGCCAGTGCCCACCGACTCGAGGCATGGGAAGTGCGCTGCCTTTTCCCAGGCAGCCAATGGAACGCGGCCCCTCTCCCTCCCACCTGCGGGCACAAGTTCGGCCGGGGCTCGCGGGCGCGTCGGGCGGGCCCGGGAAGCCCGAGGGCCGCAGCCAGGGCAGGTCCTGCAGCCGCTCCGGCCTCGCCTCGCCACGCGGGGACACGGGAGCACGAGGGCGCCGCTGAGGGGCCACCCCGGGGCCCTGGCCCCGAGGCTCAGCCCGCCTGAGAGAGGGCCTTTGAGTCCACAGTCACAGCGGCGGCCTGATCCCCGCCGTGGGAGGACAGGGCAGGGACAGCAACGGCCCGTGACTCCCTGACCCCTCTGCAGGCGCGAAATAGCGGCCAGAGCAGTTCAGTGCGGAGGAGGCGGACGAGTCAGGGGCCAGAGTCCCCGGCTGGCTGTGCGCAGAGGAGGCACAGGCCCTCTAGTCAGACAGTGGCGACAGGCAGAAAATGTCATTGGGGCAGCCGCTGGCTGAGGACAGAGCCGTGGGGAAAGCGAGTCCTGGCCCAAGAACCCCACGACCTGCTTTGCCTCTGCTTCCAAGTCCCTTCTGCCCACCACGAGCCCCGTTAACGCCTGGACACGTTTCTCCTGGACCACTCAGGCAGCATCCGCTACCCTGTTAGTCAGGCAGACATCCAGCGGCCCAAGCCAGTTTACCGCTGCCCAAGCCAGAGGAGGCCAGACTCGCAGGAGGTCCACTGGCCCCATTTCTAAGCCCTTTCTCCACTCTGAACTTGGGCAAGCTTCCCTACCTTCAGGAAGCCTCCTCACCAACCCCAGTAGTCCAGAGGATTCGGTGAGGCAGCACCCAGAAGGCACAAGGCCCAGAGGGAGCCAACCGCGCTATGGGAAGGGCATGCGGCATCCAGGTCCCAGGTGCAGAGCCCCGAGCCGGGGCTCAGAGGTCGAAGTCTGGATGGGCACATCCACCCCGCGAGGGGTGGCCCTTCCACCAAGGCAAAGTGCTGTCCCAGGTCTGCAACCTCTCCAAGCTCTTTCCCCTCTCCGAGCTGGTTTCGCATTTATACTTTGGTGGGACGGTGTCAGCTTCCTTGTGCAATTGTTTGTCAGTTGTGTAGATCGTATATGGAAGATCCTGCCCGGTGCCTGGCCGCGGAGGGCTTCCTAAGTAGTGAAAGGTACTTTTCACCCCACTGACTGCTGGTGCCACTGGGAGGGTGGCATTCCCTGCTTTCCAGCTTCCACTCCTACTCCCTCCCCGACACTAAGCAGGTGGGGTCGGAAAAACTCGAGCTTCAACCCAGGTTCTGAGGATGCCACCAGACCAGAGAGGCCCCTTAATGCTGGACTCCAACCAGAAAAGTACATTGGAGAGAAAATGTGTTTGGGGAGTTGAAGCCCATGTGATTTTTTTTTTTTTTTTGATACCGGGGATCGAACTCGGGTCCTTAGCTTTCGAGGCAGGTGGTGGAACCACTGAGCTAAATCCCCGGCTCCATGTGATATTTTTTTAAATGTTATGTCTACTGTTATTTTGTTTTGTTTATAAGTTATATGGGCTGCCATTTCCAGAATGTTAAAATACACAGCATTAAAACATAGTTCAATTTATTCAGGTGTACTTGCTAAATTACCAAATCTTTTCAAAGTGCATCATCAAAAAAATAAAGGCCACCTTGAGGATTAATCAGAGGGTCCTTCCTGAGCATGTGGTGCTGAAGGGGCTCCGAGAGATGGGAAGGGAATTTAAAGGAGGGTGGCTGAGGGGGTAGGATATGGTTACGCTTCTGCCTCTTAGTAGCTCAAGTTTTCAGCAAGTTATTTAACTTCTCCCAGCTTAACTTTGTCTGCAGAGTACAGCTCTTTCAAACAGGTGTTGATAGAATTAGGCAAAGCCGAGTGAAATCCTGTCTGTAAGTAGTTCTTATTGTAAGTACAGTTTTCCTTGATTTTTAAAAACCTGTTAAACAGCAGTGATATGTTCACCTGCCCCCCCCGCCCCTGTGATGAGGACACAGCAGGAATGTTTTCAAATAACACAAAAGGTTTCTTTTTATTGTTTTTTTTTTTTTAATACCTAGGTATAGTGGTGCTCACTTGTCAGCCCAGCACTCTGGGAGGCTGAGGCAGGAGGACGGCAATTTTGAGCCCAACCTGGACAACTTGGAGAATTAGCGAAGCCCTGTCCCAAAATAAGAAGTGAGAAGAGGTGGGGGTGTGCTCAATGAGGCAGCCCCAGGTTCAAGTCTCGGTACAAAAGGAAAGGCAGTTGTCTTTCTCTAGCGTTAACCTAGGACAGCGTGGTCAGGAGGGGCACGTGTCCGGGAAGGATCACAAGCAGGAGAAGGAATCCAGGGCGCGTGTGAGACTGACCTCACAAACTCCCTTCAGTTTCCTCTTCCCAGTTTTTGGGCTCTCCAGCTTCTGCTTCTGCCAGTTGCTGGCTCGGCAGAGGCCCTGCCCTTTCCTCGGGCTCCCTCACTGGGAGCTGGTTCCCTGAGAGCTCCAGCTCACCCCGGCTGGTGGAGCAGAGCCAGGGCAGAGGGCAGGTGAGGGTCCCTGGCAGTGCCTGGCTGGGAAGGGCACCCCTGGGCACGACCTGCAAGTCCGGGGCTGCTCTGGTGCCTGGCTTCCAATTCTGATGCTCACAGAAATGCACAGAGCTGCTGGCCTCACACACCTGGCCGGCCCGGATGCACATCCCACCAGGGCTCTGCTACAGCCCACACCCAGGTCTTCCCACCTTGTCAGAGTTCTTTCCCTTTATCCCCATCAGTCTTTGTGTGAAAAATGTAGCTCAGTTCTCAAAAAACCAGGACTTTTTACCGGTGTCATTGGGTTAGAAGAGGTCAGAAGCTGAACTGAGTCAGACACAGTGATTGGGTGGAGAGGGATTTGCACCGAAATCTTTCTGATGGGGAGTGTTCGACGGTGTTGGGTGAATAGCAGGAGGGGAGACACCCCTCACCTCAGCAGATCCAAACAAAAGACTAGAGTGCACTTGGGGGACCTGGCTGGTTTTCCTGCCCAGGAAGGGACTTCGGAACTGGATCTAATGGGGTAAAGACTCGGGAGCATGCATTCCTTCTCCTGGTCACCAGGAGTGCCATCCCTTCCCGCATTCATTTATTGGAGGCAGTGTTGGACACTGAGTGTCACAAGACAGCTGGCAGACTCTTGTCTCTTAAAGGGCTCACCAGTCTAGAGGCACAGAGGACAGTGACCGAGGCCGAGGTTGAGGCAGAACAGGAGGGCACAGACGGTGGCTGCAGAGCTAGGAATGCTTCCGGGAGGAGGGAGGACAGGACAGTGGGAGTCAGGAGGTGCTCCCTGCCTGGCATCCAGGTGGGAGAGCCTAGAAGACCCCCTCCAGGGTGTGGTAACACCTCCACTGAGAGCCCAGCTACCCGAGGGGCATTTCCAGGCTTTATCCCTGGGCAGTGAAGCTGGAATTGTGCAGGGTGCTGGTGCTCAGAGACACAAGCCAGAGCCCGGCGGGTGGGGCAGGTCTGAGGCAAGCTGTTGGATCAGTCCTCTGCCGGTAGCTAGGATTCTCCATGCCCGGTATCCTTTCTGGACAATGGGGATGGGTTTAGTAATCAGTCTTACTAGGGTGGCAACAGTGCCTTCCTCAGGAATGTGATGCCCTGCCTGAGAAGTGTTTCCCTGGGCCCCGGCAGGCACCATGCACTGCTTGATAGTTTTCAGAATCCTGATTCGAAGTGATTGGTCTGAGGCGCCAATCTTGGCCTGTTCTTTCAACCATGCTGCTGCCCTGTTTTCTAATTACCTTTAAAACATACCGTCACGGCTACTGGCCATATTCCCTGGCCTCCGGCCCCCAGTCTCCCAGCTGACTTTCCTGCTGGCCCTCATACCTGCGGTCCAATTCCTAGGCAGGAACTGAGGTTTCCTAAGCACCCATCTCCTATAAGACCCCCTCTCCTTTGGCAGAAAGCTCTTCTCTCCAGGTGATTTTACATTTTTCATTCCTCCTAAGACCAGATTTTCAGTTCACATAGTCCCGGACTTGGTAAAGGCTTCGGATGGGCCAAGTCCAGGACAGATTAAGCTTCCCAAAAAGCCTTTCCTACCTGTCGAGTACACGGAATTTAGGCCACATATTTTTGCACTATTATAGAAAATCCTTCTTTTTGCTGTTTGCAAATATTTCCAGTGCAGTTTTTAAAGGAAGAGGGATAATTTGGGGAGAAGAGTTTGAGCCATGGGATGTTACAGGAGAAAGGACCTTAAGAGTCTTGATTTTTCTCCTGGCCCCATGTGAAAATATGCTATGAACTTGGCTGTTACTTAA